GGTCCTACTTAGAAATAACTAACAGGATGGCGGTATTAGTAGCCAATAGAGTTCACAAATGGCTAGGAAGCACTACTTTACAGCCCTTTGGGTTACTTCTTCTAATTTGGGCTATCCTTTTAAAGATACCACTATTTCCCAGATAAAGCCATTAAGGCTAGTATCTGGCTCCTCGACCAGGGTACATTCACCTGTGGAGGGGGAAATTTCTCGAAATAAGACTCTTCTCCTCGAGAGTTTCTCCTCTGATACGACCCCCGCTCTATCCTCCATGCCATCCACCATCTACCTCAACGCCCAACTACCCACCACTTTTCTGAAGTTTCTTTAACAATTTCTGCACTATTCCCCAAAAAACTGTTGTCGAGCGAGAGGAAGTGGGGGTGGGGGCTATATTGCCAGTGTAGCGTCAACTGGATGGTCCAACTGGTTCCGTCAGTTTCTTCCAATAGTAGGTCCATACACGGAACAAGAAAGTGGTGCTCGCAGCACGACCATACCTGATGTATTTCTTTCCACAAGACATACAGGCGTATGGTCGCTCATTGGCATGTAACCGCTTGTGGAGGCGAAGATGGACGTACTGAGTGAATTTAGCGCTGCATACATCACAAGCATACGGCTTCTGTCCGTTGTGAAGTCGCAAATGCGTCTTTAGATTCGACGTTGATGAAAAGCGTTTATCACAAATGTCACAACGATGTGGACGTTCACCTGAAAACTATCGCTGGACATCACAAAAGGGCTATTCTGAAGCAAAAGCTATCACCTGTATGTACAAGATTGTGTTTTTGTAGATGCGCCAATTGGGTGAACTCCTTCCCACAAACGGTACATTTAAAGGGACGTTCGCCCGTGTGGGTCCTACAACGATGTCAGCATTTCAACCTAAGGACTGAGAGCCGGAAGAGTTCCTTGGGTTTTCGCTCACCTGACGTGCACTTTCAAATTTGACAGTTGCCCAAATGTCTTGTGGCACTCTTTACAGGCGTAGCGAGTCTTGCCATTTTCTTGTTGTTGGATATACTAAAAACGGGAAGTTTAATTGTTGTAGTACCGCCCCCCCCCTCCTCCCCAACAGATAACGGAGTAAAGGACTTACCTTGGGGGTACCGTATCCTTCATTGTGATTGGGTGTACTTGATGCTGGAAACGGCGGAGCAGGAAAAGAGGATCCTCCCCCTCCACCTCCACCACCGAAATGAGCCGAGACACTTCCACCTCCAAAAGCCGGAGTTGCAGCAGAAAAGATAGGCTTCACTTCCTGAAATCCTTCAGAGCTTATCAGAGGAATGTTATCTTCTTGCAATTAGTTTTCTCACATGAGTTCCGTAAATTCCATTGTAATTGCCGAATCCGCTGCCTGCAGTGGCGGCGAGAATCGGTTGAGCGTCGCTCGGCCTCCCAGACGCTGTGATTCTCGTGGCTGCAGCGGTCGCGGCAGTGGCTGCAGCGGCGGGTGTGGACTGAGGCACCCATAGCCCTCCGCCGCCTGAAGATGAAGTTTCTTCGAATGAAAAACTTAAACTGGCTTAGAACTTACTGAGTTGCTGAGTTCTTCTGAAGTAATCTTGGAACAGGGAAAGCGGATTGAGAGGGCTAGGCCGGACTGGAGACGGTGCTGGAAGAGACGCGAGGCGAGTAGGCACGGGACGATGTACCGGATTCTGGATGACATTTGGACGAGTTTGCACCTCAGCCAACGATGGAGGAGAACAGCTGAATTCAACTCTAAGCAACAGTAAATCCAGGCATTAGACGCTGCTCCCCGCGGCATCCCCTACCCTTAATACGAACCTATTCGAGTTGCTCTTCTCGGATTCACCGTCGTCTCCTACGTCCACGTCAGACGTGTCGCCACGATCGGCTTTTTCACTATGGCTGCTCTCAATTGCATCACGTTTCATGCTGTAGTCCAACGCTTCCTGAGGTGAAGCTCGATCTTCCATCGCCCATGGCTGTTGTGGTGGTGCAGGAGCGTTGCGCTTTGGTGCTGTAAAAATAATACGGTTGGTGAAACAAAGGATCCAGTCAGAACAACTCACTCATTCTGGCTGCTTCACATGAAACCGGGTAGTTTAACTTTTGAGCGTAGTCCTTGCTGAACCAGAAGGTCAGCTCACTGTTTGGCTTTATTGACCGAATAGAGTAGAAGTAGATGTCCTTGTCCATCTGAAGCATAAGCGTTTAGAAGCGAGGTAGCCAATTTGCTTGGTCGAGGGGCCAAGTACCGCAAACAGGATCGGCTATTGATGCTGGACTGCTCTCAGGGCACACCCTGTCGTTGGGGAAAATTTTGGGAAACGGTACCCCCCCCCTCTAAATTTACTCCTCTGGTACGAATCCCGTTCTCAGGCTAGCTTCATCTTCCCATATTCTTCCAACTCCTTCCCAAGTTCCCCAGTTTTTTTTCTTAACCAATCCGCCAGTCGAGCGGCTAAATACCGACCGGTTCCGACAGCCATGTGGAGTCGACCAAGACGCTTTGTGGATAGCGCGCGTGACATATGAAAAATCAGCTATCAACAAATTCCTCGACACCCAGGTACGACTACCCCACTTTCTGCTATCCAGCGACCAATCGCGAGCCCCACTCCACCCCCACCGCCCGTCCTGCTGCTCCTAGCACAGGCAACTGACAAGCGGCTTTCTAAGGCTCAGAGCACATCACCTCGTTGTGAGGGAAAATTCGCTGAATATAACCACCATCCTAGTCAACTTTTCCCTCTCTGGTACGAACCGACCTCCTTCCACTGCGAGCCTAGCCTCTTCTTATAGCCACGGCTCTTCCTGTCGTTGGGAGAATTCTTACAAAGTACACCCGTATTTCCTACATGGTACACCTCTTCCCTTCTCGTCCTTAACCCTACCTACCGATCTTTCCCAAATCTCTCAACTTTCCACACTTTTTCTGAAATTTCCCGGTATTTACCCTAGAAACTGGCGTTGAGCGGAAGGGGGGGGGAGGGGGTTATAAAGCGCAGTTGAAACAGGAATATGGAGAGTAGTCAGCAAGCCGGAGGCAGGCGCGTTAGAATACGCCTTCTTGGCGAATACGACTTCCCTCTCCTCCTTCCTCCCTTCAGCGACCATATACGACCCTTCTCGCTAGATACCCCCAATGTACGACAGCCCTGCTCATAACTAAACTTGCCGCGAGTGATGAGATAGGCCCTGATAGGGCGGATAAACGCCTTCACCACATCCGCCCTCCTCATACTCGTGTGATTTTGACTGTTGCTGTGTCCAGGCCACAGACATACTAGCAGGCGCCCCCCGTCTGACTCAGCTACCAAATAGTCTCATGGAGTACTCAAGCGATTACCTGGCAGGCGACCAAATTCTGGGTCTCGTTCGAGACGGCGACATTGACGAATTTCATCCAATTACAGCGGCTATCGTCCTCGACAAGAATCGTCTTCAGAGCCCTTCCACCAGACGGTGACATCACCTGAATCGTATTTTTAGTCGTAAGCCTCGTTACCCTCATAAGCACCCTGTCTGATCGTTTGCTTTATAAGTTGTACTATATACGCCCATTAGGTCTACTTGTCGCAGCTCAGAATAAGGGTGTATGTTGGAGTCTTCTCATTCAAAAACTAAACCACCGAGAGAATGCAGAAAGTGTCCCTTGTGGCAGAAGATTTTTTTCGATTCTGACACCCAAGCGATGCTACATGGCTGTACACTGCTTCCAGGAAATCTCCGACTTACCTTCCATTCCTTTGGCGAAGTGGTGGGAGCAGTCGGGGTAGAGGGTCCGCTCGGAGGAATCCACCAGCACTGGAAGCTTCTGCCGGACAAACTGGCGTGCAATCGGCTCCATTCATCTTTACCTCACCAAGCAGAGGTCCGAATCGTACACCACGAGGAATGTAATCGACCGACCAAACACCCATACGCTGAAAAGGACATGCACAGACTTTCAGCCCATCGATGACTCGATTTAGAAACGCTATGTACACATCGAACAATTTCAACGAATTGCTTATCGTGGCGCTCTTCGGTGACACAAAATAGGAGAAAACAGAACGAGGTACCACCACAGGTGCAAAGCCACCGTTTTGTAAAGTAGACGAAAAATTTGTGGTACCGAAGGATCCTGAGTGGATGGTCGAATGGTCAGATTCAGTGGTAACGAGGTGATCGCACGATTCTTCGCATCCTAAATGGGGACACTTCTCTTTAGGTCCTAGTCCGGAGGAATTTTAAGCGCTCACCTGATGTTGAACGGGCTTGTCCGGCACATGAAATACACACAATTGTGACAACGTTTCATCATTTATTTCCCGCCAGTCCCAATCGGCCATGCGCGATGAGTCGTGAGATACTGTAAGAATCGTATTCCGGGGGCGCCCACCGGGGGGTGCACACGATTATTAGATTCGTACAGAAAAAGAGAAGGTTTTTGAACGTTCTCTTTCAGAGTTCAGTCGGAGCACTGAGATGGAGTTTCCCACGGTTTCCTTTTGTACAAAATTTTTGCCCGTGGTAGTCAAATTTGAAATTTGAAGGCGTTTAGCGATTTGAAGCTTTATGCGTCATGAGTGAATACTGTTCGCTTTCTCGGTAGAAAAAGGGGAATTTTTGTGAATCTGGCGATCAATCGCCCCTTTCCCCCGAAAGGCGTTGCACCTCCAGGACGCTCTAAAAAATCGCTGATTCGGGAGAGTTTCTTCGGGAAACTTTTTCCCATATCGCGCTGGCTTGAATAGCTAAGAGTCTAACTAAGAATAATGAAAAGAGTTTGAACAGTGGGAAGAATGCCCAGTTATGTCTCAGAAATGGCCAAGGTGATATGATCTGACTGCAGTGGTATCGCGTTCCCCTTTTGGAGTATCAGCGCTGCTCGCTTGCACAATTTTCCTGGCAGCCTATCGAGGGAGAAACTACGAAAAGCCTTGGTTTTTCGAACCTCTGCCATGTGTAACGAGGTTCTTGCCCCACCTACAGGCTGCGTCAGACGATGAAGAGAGAGAGTGAGCTTGGAGTGATGTGATCGACTCAGCAAGGTAGGTGCGAGCCATGAAAGAAGGGGTGTGGGTAGGAATCTAGATGACTACTATAAGGAGGGGTGGTGGTGCTGGAGACCCTTTCCGATCCTCCAGGTCCCGATGATGCTCCTATATTGCATCTGAATGCGATTGATCAGCGCCAAGTAGCACATCCCTGGCGTGTCAGGCTTCCCCAGTGACTCTATAGGCCGTTTGTTCAAGTTTTCTTGAACCTATTAGGTGAGTTTCTTTTTTCGACCCCTCTTGAAGAACTATAAAATCTCAACGGGCAATAGCGACCGCCGAAAAAACTCGCTTTGCCCAGCTCTATCGATAATGCCTTATCAACACCCCCTCAAATTCGTGAAAAAAACAAACGGGCAGAGATCGCCCTGTCAGACTAATCAATCGCTTTTTTTAGTCTCATCAACAGCAGTAAGGCAGTTTCAGTTACTTTCACAATACTCGAACAGGCGATAATGGTTTAATCAGGAACTGAGGCGCTTTTGTTTTGGGTGGCTGATAGCGTATCACTTACGGAATCGCTTACAAACAATTTGTTGCCGGGTATTAGTGGGAGGGTGTAACAGGGTGTAGGCGGAATAATCTCGTAGGCAACTCACCTTGTGGAGGTTGAGGTGGTCGATTCTGAGCAGCAGGTTGTTGGGGCAGGACTCCGAATGGTGGAGGCCCAGCTGACGAGCCGTCACCTCGGTCTTCACCCATCTAAATACAAGGTTTTCGGCAAAATTTCGAACCCATATATAAATAGATAACACGATATATGGAAGTAGCTGTAGGTGATAAGATTTAATGCAGATGGAGGAAAAGAAAAAAAACATTGTATGATAAGGAAAACATGAGCTGCTTGACGGCCTGCACCACCGCCGCGTCGTCGCGGGCTGCCGTGAGAGGAGAAACCTCGCGTGTCGTGTTCCGCTCAGCTTTTAGTTTTGGTAGAATGTCATTCAACGTGCTGACTAGGTGTGCTCGAATATCCACTTGGTGAAAGTCTCACAGCTGATGCTCACTTGTTTAACGCAGCGGCGACCCGCCTTTGTGGGTGATTTCCTCTAAGAGAAATGTTGAAATCTTGGTGTGGGGGACCGAATGAAAGCGCCAAGGCCGGGAGCCGAAGCGAGCGTTGGTCGCGCCGTCGTCGTAATTGCAACATCCTGCTGATGACCGGTTGGGAGGCGCTGAAATGACTTGCGCAGACCGCGAACTTCTTGCACTTGAAGAGGTCCGGCAACTAAAGCCTCGCTCTTCCACAAATCGTCTCCAATCCTCCCATAAATGTATCCAACAATCGAATAAAATTCACAAGAACTAACGAGCAGTAATCTTGGAGTAGCCTGTCCAAGAATTCCAGTACGGTAGGGTAACAAGTGTGGGTGGGACTACTCAATGACTCAGTAGAATACCGTACTCAGCTGCAAGAACTAGGTGAGGAGATCGAGATATAGAATAACAAAGAAGGAGCTGTTATAGAAGAAAGAGATAGCTAATGCTTGGACGACAACAACGGACGGGAGGGGAGAAGGCAGGCAGAGGCGTATCGTTGGCCGGCTAGGCGCTCGTCCCGTCGGCTAATCTGCACGCGAACCCGCTTGCAGCGTCGTCGGCACCAACCTAATGGAGCTGTTTTTGGACGGCGAGAGTGAGCCGTACAAACTGGACACCACGATAGCCGTTCCAGCTAAGCGCCATCGTATCGAGATCGTGTCCATCTCGTGTACGCCACAAATGGATTGTCAGCTCCAAGAAGCTGGACGTAAGTCGAACGAGTCGGCACCAGAAGCTCCTCTAACAGACGAGACGAATGACCTTAAGGATGGGACTTGCGGGGTATTGAAAGGCAGCAAAGAGGCAAGAGTTTCGAAGAAGCACAAAGCGACCAAGACGGGTCGCCTGGACTAGAAAAAATCATAATTGATTTATGACAGGAGCAGCAGGCCGAGTGTTCCCATAAGAAGTGAGCGCGATGAACAGTTATCCGATTGTATCTGTACGGAGCGAACCGTACCTTTCCTATATACGCGCCGCCAACCGCGCCGGTCGGACACACACATCCGGCAAGCATGAAATGTACGCAAATGGTAGTGAGGCTACACGAAAACCATAGAGGACTACACTCATATCCCGAAGTGGAGGGGTCGGTGGCTCGTGTTCTAACTGGAGAACTTATGGGATGCCTTTTTCGTGGCATTTTTCAATTTGAGATGCTGTCTTGTATTGAAAAGAGACGTGAATACAGTTGTCCCAGAACGGCAGCATTTCACTTGAAGTATAGCCGCCCGAAGGCCACGCTCGAATCACCCACCAATCTGCCATTGCGTGCGGTATGGAAGGCGTCCTGTTGAGGTAGGCAACATGGTAAGAAACAAGCAGGTGAACCTAGAATTTAAGGTAGCGAAAGCTAAAAGTAAAGGTAGGGCGGCTATAGGGACCATCCTAACCATTCGTGTGTAAAATTACATGCCAGTAGGTTAAGGATTCGTGCTGAAACCGTGAGGAAAGATGTTATGGGTGGGTGGGCCGAGTTGTTTGTTCTTTCGCAACTTTTGTCAGCTCGTTTTCGCACAAGAGTCCTTTAAGTGCCCCCCCCCCCTTCTAAGGGTCATCTCTTTACAGATGAGGTTTGCCCTACACCTGCTTAAACTGTTCAAAGAGCTCAAACTTCCACCTTTCAGGTACGAGGCCATTCGAGAAAGCGATGAGGCGAATGTAGCCCTTTCTAAAGTGGATAAGTGCACACCAAGGGCAGCCAACAGCCCGAGAAGCTGTTCTTCCTCTTGAGAGCCCTACTAGTAGCCCATTATCCAGGGCATTTCTTGGAGTTACGGTAGCTTACTTGAATCTACATAAGCCAGCAGCGTATTAAAGAACAGCCCGAGGAGCTGTCGCTTCTCTTCGTAGCCCTTCAAAGGCTCAGTCCATGCCATCTCGCTACTAGAAAGGTACGGTCGGTGTAACCACCTTGCCCATTATAACACGCCCCATCGAGTTCAGGACCCAGCTGCGTCCAGTTGCGCGAGCCCGATCGGTCCGTCAATGACCAAAACTCCACTTTTATGCTGTTCCGCTAGGCAGGCTCGTAACTACGAAGCGACAAGCTCAAGTACCAGTCGATGTAGACCTCAGGGCCCAGTCAGAGTAGATTTGGAGAGCAGACGACAGTTAGTACTAGTAGCCCATTACCCAAAGTATTTTGGGGGCTACACTAGCACTTGGTTGTAAGCTGAAGCTTTTCAGGCAGTCATTTAGGGATCGCATTCCTCAGCCCAAATTGGAAAGATCCATAAGATTGGCGCGAAATCAACGATCATCGTGAACTTCCATCCACGGGCCCCAGCCGCTGCTGGCGACCGGTTCAAGCCATTCTCGGGATCCCCCTCTGAAAATGGAGTTTTCGTCGCGATTGCGTACACTTGGACCAAGCTAGTCTTCGTCAAATTATCGAGTCACTTAGCAAGGGACGTTCACTACGCTCGAAAATTCTTCCCTTCAATTTCTCTAGGTGATTGGTCCTTTTTTCCCTTTTCTTGAGCGTCTTCACTCTCGTATCGTTTACAGTAATATTAGGAGGGAGTAGTCAATGTCCCGCCCACTGTTTATGCGTTGCACGTGCAAGCACCGCCCACATTGTGACATTGACCCCGCCTGTAGTTGTTTACAGCGCGTGCTGGGCCACGCCTTCACGTGGCAATGGCCTCAAAAGTACCGACTGGCACGTAACGAGAGTGCAAGGTCGCGTCGGGTGGGAATTAGCGATGACGACGCACAAGTGCACAATTTCGAGGCTAAGGTTAGCTGTGGTCGAGTTGACGACCATGTCGAAACACTGACAGAGCCGTTGAGGTGAACAGCCAATGCGAAGAAACGTAGGGGGAGCAGCAACCAATCGCATTGTACCAAACCCGTCTTGAAGTTCACTCTCACGAGAAGCTCGTATTGAAGGATGGGAAGTTAGGGGGAACGCTTCAGCTGCGGTAGGGCTATGACCTGAGGTGGTTCTGATACCTTAATGAGGGGGAACTTGGGTTAAATTTGGTATTTCTTGGATCAGCAGGAGGGGGAGTGCCAGAACGAACACCTAGCTGTTTAAGACAAACAACGAAAGCAGCATTATTTACCATCAAAAAAATACGACAATGAGGATATAAAAATGCTAGAGGTTAGCAGCTTGAAGGGGAGGTGGGCTGATAGCCCTGACGCATGAGAATAATCAATGATAAAACAATGTAAGGACAATAAAGCTGGCAAGAAATGCACAGAAAAGTCAAGAAAAAGTTGGAAATGCTGTAGAGGTGGCAAGGAGATGTTGTGTGATGTGGTGGGGCGAAAAGACCGCTCGCTGGAGAGGGTTTGGCGATCCGTCGACCTTGGCCATGCGAAGAGGAGAGGCGCATCCCCACACACACCACACCACTGCAACTAGGTCAACTACAAGGACACCTTAGCTAGCTGTCTGAGTACTGAGAGCAACACGATCACAACACATCTGGGAGATTTTCCGCTCATTGGAAGAACTCCAGAACCCTAGCAGCTCACAAGACTGCTCAAAACTGGCAACGAAAACGCGCAGGTCAAGCTTAATTGCTAGGGAACTTTATCCTCCTGCAGAGGGGATTCCGCCTAATCCCGAGCCCCCCCCCCTTCCGCAGAAGCGCCCTTCCTCACTTCTCACCCTATTACGACTGCTGCTAACAATGCCTTTCGGGCATATGCTCTCGGCCCTTCGAAACCCAACGTCAACTCTCGGTAATTATGGACCACCAACCCTTAAATCTCCCACATTCGACGCCTGTTCTTTGCGCTACTCGTTCTCCCTCCACCCTTTACCAACACAGCAGATCTCGGCGAAGCTCAAAGCGTTGTCCAGTGAGGAGCCGACTGAAAACCAGTCCTCGTTCGGCGCAGCCATTACTGTAGCGCTGCGCGATCCCCTCGCTTTGAAACCCAGCGTGAGCCGATATCGTACTTCGAATTGCCGCTCGCGAAGCGTTAACGTCGCTACGCGATGAAAAGATTTCGCGATGCGACGTACACCCGACTGACTGTTCGTCCATCGATAGCTCACGGTCAAGGCTAGTTCCCACATGTAATTTTGCAAATCCTCATCCGAACTCCGCTAGAAAGATCGCGTCAAATGTTGATTGGGACTGATCTCTTGGAGTGACTGAACCATGTGAGCTAATGAGTAAGGGTTCGGAATAAAAGCCTGTAATTTGTTAGATAATAGGTGGAAAATGCATTCCCATTCAGGGGTTGGTTGATTCTCATCAGCTCAGTGGAGGGCAACCAGCTGGGGTTTCATCAGAAAATCGAACTGCTAAAGTATACGAGATAATCTTTTGGTTAAAAAGAGCCAAAGTTACTCACTTCTGTAGTAAAAAAATCTCCAGAAAAGGTAAGAAATAAATTTCAATGAGAAGTGAAGTGCATTAACGGTAGATCTGCAAGTGCAGGGAACAGCGATGGACGAGGAGAGCGGATACTGTCCATCGCTCGTTGAGGACAGAAGGGAGGGCAATGGAAGCGGCGAGAGCCATCCAACCAGTTTCCACCACCACCAGCATAGCCATCACAGAGCGTCCCCATTGCCGCCACCGCATCGCACAAATGCCTAGTCTCGTAGAGGGTTGCACCAGAAGAATCCTTTTGGGGGACCAAACGATTAGCAAGCTTGATCGCAATGCTTTTAGTTACGCAGTAATCAAGGG